ACAAATGTTGACAGAATCCTAATAGGAATATAGAGGAGGATCTACTCTTTCAGAAAACATATAACTTTATTAGGTTGGGTCTTTGATCTTTTGTACAACGGTTGATAAATCCGGGGTGTAAAAAATCGGCGGAAACTTTTCGGGCAACCCAATAATTTATTCGCCCTTATATGATTTATCGTCGAGGTAGGCATTTGATAGCATACCAAACGGCAATCGTTTTAACCAGTGTATTTTTCGATGAACTTCCACGCAAAGATCGTTATAAGCATGTAAGCGCAAAAGCTCTACACTAAACTGCAATTTCAAAAGTATAAGTGTCCTGCACTGGTGCGGCGAGAGCGGAAACCTTTTACCCGGCCGAACAATAGAACATTCATTCGACCACACACATAGTGAATGAATCTCGTAAGAAACATTCGGGTCGCCCTAATTATGTCGGGCTTCCCTCCTTCATATGTTAAGTTTCAACGCCACACTGAGAGTAACATTACCCCCACCCTACCCTCTCCCCCACCCCTACAGCTTTCTTTTTAAAAAAGTAAAGGAGTAGTTAGTAGCATCATCTGGTGCTATTACCGATCTTTACGTTTGCAGCTTCTATCCCAACACATCTCCCCAACCTTCTTAGGGTTGGTGCACTGTGCGACAATGAAACAATCGCGATCGAGCGGTCACCTACACAGCAGATCCCCACAGCGGGATACCTTACCGGGAGGGACACTGTACCCCTATCACACATGAAGACCACGCCGGTGAAGGGAGCCAAGTTGTGGATCTGCGCCGTATAATCTAAAAAGACCTCTAGACACGATTGTCGATTCACGAATCCCACTTTCCCTTTGCCCCCTTTCCGCCTTCCATCGGCTTTTCTATCTTGCCACCTTCACCTCTACGAAATTTCAGGGCTCCAGGTGCGAATTGATCCAAATTTACGGTTTCCGCGCAAGTCCCGCCCTCACTGGACGGAGTCTATACATGCTCCTAATATTAGTGTTCCCAAATTGCCATCTGCCTCTCTACCGAATATGAACGCTTCAGGTACGAACAGGTCCGAATTGACTATTTGAGCGCAAGCCCCCCCCCCC